CTTGACATAATTGTCCATATGAATTATGATAAACCAACTCTTTCTGAAGTTTTTTGAGCACAAAATCATTAGCAGTCAGCTTTTTTTTTTTGTAATCTTTTGGCTTTCCGTAGTAAGAATGCTTTATCTTCCTTTGATTTGAATGCCTTTTTATAGTTACAACTCTCGTTGTAGATAATTTTTGGACCTCAGACTTAAAAACAAACAAAAATCTGTTCCTTTATAGTATTTTTTTTATCCCAAGATTAGTCTTTGGCTTTGCTTTGCATGGCCTGCTTTTACTTTTCAGGCCCTTAAGGATTCCTATTCATGTCACTAATATTTCTATTCAGCACTGAGACACTGACTTGAGGTAATCAAGTAAAGATATTCTCCTGTTTCTTCATAGTTCTTCTCCAAGAGACCCTGCTTGTAAATGTTCTAATTTTGAAGCCTGACATTTTTGTGGATGGACAAGGCAACCCATTATTCTTACTGTGCTATTTTTTCCTCTGTGGAATCAATAATGCTATTATCTCGATAGGACTTTCTCTATGCTATTATAGAATTCTGCGGTGAAATTTGAATAAATAAATCATAGCTGTTCCTTATTTCAGATGCTAGAGGATATGCACTAATGCTGCATTTTGGAGAAGAAGCATCAGAAATTTTCCTGGAAAGGTAGGTACTTGCCTACCTTCTCCAAGACTTCTTTCACATTTCCACTTATTTCCTGATTAATATGCTCATTCATCTGTAGGAATCACTGTTTTGATTTCTGATCTCTAAGTACTTGTCATTGTTGAATGGGAATCTCCCTGCATAATCTTGAAGAATATTTCATTTACATATGTATCTGAGCATAAGGAGTAAAAGTTGTGCAAACTGTTCTGAAATAATCCTGCAAATTTATCTCTCTTGCTGTGACACTTTTTGTTATTTTAATTATCAGAGTTGGTAGATCAGGCTTAAAGGCATACTACACATTTTACAGTATGGCTTATAAGCTTTCTTAATGTCGTAATTCAGAGGCATTGCTTTTCAAGTGCTCTGCTTCTGGGCTCATTTTATAGGTTGCACTTGTCCTTTAAAAAGTGTACAAACCATGAAAACTTATGAAATAGTAATAATTAACAGGCTTTTATGTACATTGTAGCTTCAGTTAAGTTTCCCTAAGCAGCTTATGACCTCCGAGATGTTAAAATTCAAATATTAAATCCTTGGAAAAACAAGGAAATAGACCATGCAGCAGCCTGAAATCCAACTTTGATCCTATAATCTCCTAGACTCTGGGTCTAATGGTGGCTAATGAAAAGCATATTTAAGGTCTTCCCCCCGACCCCCCAGTTAGTTAGAAAATCTCATACAGTGTCTCTACTCTTATTTCCGGATTGCTATTGCATATTTCTATGAAAGGTTAGAGCATACGAAGGCCTGAAAAAGTKCAGGGGAACATACAGACCTGAGTGGAGCAGGGGACTCTCTTAATTTCCACTAGTAAATGTTGTGTATGGGGGGGAGCGCGGGGGGGTGGAACAGGATATGAGATTTGGATACCGTCAGTGACAGGGTCATCGATAAAGCTGAGCTTTGAGGAAAAGGGCAGAAAAGAAAGGAAAAGGTGGAAAGGATGCTCTTCTTCAGTTGTTTGACCTTCATTTTGGAAATAGCAAAGTGTAAACACAGATTTAGGCACACTTGAGAAAACATTGTTTCCCAAGGCAGAAGAAACTGAGTGCAGGTCACTCAAGAAGTGTTTTCGGAGGACACAGAGCAAGTAACACTGGAAGTGTGACCGTGGGGTTCAAGCTGGTGGTATTCAGGGACCTCGGCTTTTTTCCCTTGAGTTATCTGGGTATCATGAAAGGGAATCTGGAAACTTTTGTTTTCTGTAGAGCCAAAATCTTGCTGAACATGCATATTTTACTCCCATCAGCCAAGTTCTTGAATTCAACTTACCCCGAAATAACTACTACTGCCCCAGGAAGGCACTGGATAATATATTGTAGAAAATAAAATGCAGGTGGCTGAGATTAGCCAGAGAGAACTGGAACCAGAGTCTGTGTGTCAGCTGTATACAAAAGAAATCAGAAGCAGCCTGGTGGTCTACTTAATGAATGATACTKGGTGACATTCTCACTCCAGTGCCTTACTTAATCGGTCACAAACTTGCCTTCTGATGAGCCCAACAAAAGGTCAACTTGTGGAATTTTATAAATTTAGAATATTTCTCACCTTAATTTTATATTATTTTAATGCTGAAATAGAACTGTGCTAGCTACAGAACGTGAACATGGTTTTCAAATAGAACACGGTTTTCAAGTGTTGTGCATATCTGAACCTAACAAGTAGATCTAATCATCTTCAAATGGTGCTGACTACAGGATGCATCAACTGAACATTTAGTCATATGACAAGAGTCATAAATTGAAGCAGAGGAAGTTCCCACTTGATGTGAGAGGGAAAAAATCATCACAAGGACAGTCAAGCAGTCAAATACTGGAACGGACTGCTGAGAATGCCGTGCAGTCTCTGTCCTTGGAGGTTTTCAAGATCCACCCGAACAAAGCCCTGAAAAACCTGGTCTAAATCCAACGCTGACCGTGCCGGAGGTGTGAGAATAGACAACTTCCCAAGTTCCCTTAATGTCTGAATTGTTCAGTGTTTCAAAGATTAGATATTTGCCTTCATGTTGAGAAAAGAACTTTTTTGGTTTTGTCCCATGTAAATTCTCTTAAAGTACGTAGAATTCAAGGTACATAAGTGGTCCATTCACACTCAAGGTGAAAGAAAGGCAGTTATTCATAATACTATTATCAATAAGATAACTTATCAACTCTCTGGGATAAAAATGGGTCTTTATTATGTAGACTAAAGAAATAAAATTGGTATTAGGAAGCCACTGTCTTTTATAGCAAAATTGTAAAGTAATTTTATAATTTTTTTTTTGAAAAAATAAATCTCATGTGCAACATAGAGGTGGACTTAAAGCTGCATGGAACTGTGAAAAGYATTTCCCAGAATTTTAAAAGGATGCTTTTATGTGATGGAATGGGCCTGACTGTCCACTGTCTTTTCCATTGCAGGAGGATAATCAAATAAAATAGCCAGCTTGAAAACAAACCAAGGAGAGGTGATTCTTCATACAATGTGCAGGTAAGATGAGAAGYTGGGAACAATTTGTCATGGGCTACTTTGGATGAAAAATATTGTGTAGGCTAAAAAGTTAGGAGCTACCAAACGCCTAGATGTTACATGTTGCTGAAGAAGTGTCTGCGTTCATAGCTGCTGGAGGCAAATGCAGGAGGCAAAGGGAGGGAGTGCAGGTGGGGAGTTGGCTCTTAAACTATTTTGTATCTCTTGTTCTGTATTTGAGAGAATGCTTGGCTAAGCAGACCTTTGTCTTGACCCAGTACGGCTGCTCTTAGGACCTGAGATCTACAATTAAATGTTTATTTAATTAATTTAGTACTCATTAGAAATTGAGAAGCCTATATTAACACAGTGGTCTAGTGGCCAAAGTGTGGCAGTTATAAGCTGATTTTAATGAGTTCATGTAATTGACAGAGCATGAAAGGTTTTCTCCATGACATCAAGGTAAATTAATCTCTCCAAAGCAGGAGACTGTTTTATCTCTTCTGCACCAATCTGAACATGCTGTGACACTAAGCAATTTTTGTTTGATGTATTTAGCTGCGTGAGAACAGAACTTAGTACAGGTCCTTAGCACTGCAATAACACACTTCTGACCACATTATCAGAATAATGCAAAGTTGATAGAGTTTCAAAGAAAAGCAGTGCAGAAGTCTTAGATTCAAAATTTAGTTTCAAATTTAGATTTGAACTTGAGTTGTGACAAAGACCTGCTATTTAACTGATGATAAACTAAAATGTGAATTGTTAGAGGGGAGAAATGTTAGTGTATAATAGTGTACTATAAGAGTGAATTCAAATTTTAGTTGTTAGAAACAGCTATGCAAGTGCAAGACTCTTGGACTTTCAAAAGCAGAAGAAAACATTGATCTCTATGCCAAGCCCACACACTGAAATCTAGCCACTTTCCAACGTTTATTCCTTAGCATGGCCCACAAGCACGACCATATTCTGGGTCTATCCCAGTAGTGTCCTCTCCAACAGTGGCCGAGAGGGCCAAGGGCTGACCCAGCAGGCCTGACCCCGCCACTTCCCGGTGCTCTGAGCACAGGCTGTGTTGCCTGAAGCATCTACAGGACCTGCTGCCTGAGGAAGAAACGTTAGAGCCCTGCTTGGAGGGAGAGACCAGCCACGGCACCCTCCCTAATGAGAAGCCTTGCTCCTCCTTACTTTCCACCACGGTTAAAGTACATCTCTGGGCATAATGGAAGTAAAATGCTGTGCCGCTCATGCCCATCATCCCTTTTGTCATGCAGTAGAGTTATGTGAGCTGCTAGGAATTGCACTGCAACACGGGAGATTCAGGTGGGATCTTTTTTAGGAGTAACTTGCATTAAGGCTGTGCTCCTTGCTGCTCAGAGMGTGGAAAGGGGTCTTGTCTGAGCTGTATGTTTCAGCGTTGGCATCCACCACTCCTTAGTGGCTTTGCGACTCCAGTGTAACCCTCGCAGGCTGGAGCGCAGCAGAGACCCTTCAGAGCGGTAAGTGTGACCCCCCTTTGCCAGCACCTTGGTTCTCCCCCTTGCTCTGGGAGGACTGATCCCACTCCCGCCCTGCCCRCAGCGGCCGCCTCGGGGGCGCCACGAGGGCTCCTCGCTCCCGCTCAGGGCGCGAGGCGGCGGCCGGGCACAAAGGCCGGCGCTTCCCACCTCCCCGCCGCGGGGCTCCCTGCGGCCGCTGCCCCCGGCGCGGCGCCGCTCCGGGCTCCTCGTGTCGCCCGCCTCCCGCCCCGGAGGGGCGCCCGCGCGCGGCGGCCGGCGGCGGCGGCGGTGGCGCTGCCGAGCAGAGCCGGGCACTCGGGCGCCGAGCGGCGGCCGCCCGCGCCCGCACCCCCTCCCCGGCCGGCCGGCGGGCTGCGCTGCGCGAACATGGCGGCGGCGGTGGGGCGGGACGCTCTACCTGAGCACTGGTCCTACGGCGTCTGCGGCGACGGCCGCGTCTTCTTCATCGAGTAAGGGGGGCAGCGGGAGGGCGCGGGCAGCCGGCGGCGGCGGGCGGCGCTAACAGGTGCATGTTTGTCCGCCTCTCCCTCCCAGCGACCTGGCCCGCACCACCACTTGGCTGCACCCGCGCACCGGGGAGCCCGTCAACTCCGGCCACATGATCCGCTCAGGTGGGTGCCCCGCGGCGCCCCCGCCTCGCTTCGGCTCCCCTCGCGCTCCCGTAACGGCCGCCCTGCGCCCCCGCCTCGCGCGCGCACCGTTAACGGTCGCCCCCACCCCCYCGCCGCGCGCAGCGCTAACGGCCGCCCCCAGCCTCGCGCACCGTTAACGGTCGCTCCGGGGCCGCTCGCGCCCACCCCGCGGCCACTGAGGCACCTCGAGGGCATGGGCGCAGTTCTCATCCCTTCTTTCCCTTTCTTTTCTCTTTCTTTCTTTCCTTTCCCTCGCTGCAGACCTGCCCCGAGGATGGGAGGAGGGGTTCTCGGAGGAGGGAGCCAGCTACTTCATCGAGTGAGTGTTTGTCCGGCCCGGTGTGTGTGCGCGGGGGGTTGCGTCTCCCTCTTTCCCCCCTTCCCCCACCCGCTTGTACCGTTTAACCTGCCCTTTTCGCCGCTTTAATGATTAACGCGAGGGAAAGTGAAAATGATGCGTGTGTTTGCGGGGGGGGTGGGTGGGGTAACGGGGAAAGTCGGCAACTAGGAGTGGATTTTGCAACGAGGTCGAGGGGAAAGGCAGGCTCCCCCCATTGCTGCCGCCGTGTCTTCTTGGGTGCAAGCAACAGGTTTCCCCCGGCGTGGGAGGCTGCTTTGTTTGTTTTTCCTCTTCCTCCTCCCTTCCTGATGTTTGAAGCYGTTCTTGGCAGGTGGAGCATTGCTGCTGTGTGTGGGTCGTGGTTGAAGGTGGTGGCTTGTTTTTGTGTTAAACAGCAGGTGCTTGTGGATGCAGCGCTGGGAAGTTTTGTGAGCTGCCAGCGCTCGGTGCCTCATCCAAGAGGCAGGGCTAAACGGTTGAATTTGCTTCGCTTGTGCTGGCGGTGCTTGTTGAGTCTTCAGTAGAGCTGACCTTTTTTAGAGATCAGTGAATATGGGATATGCTGTCTGCTGTTTTCTTTTTCTTTCTATGAGATGCAATTAAGTTGTAATAAAATACAGTCATTGAAAGAAAGCTTCTTTCAAGATTAGTATAAGGCTTTTAAGTGTGTAAGCTAGAATGTTTTAGGAATGTAAAACAAGTTCAATCAAATCAGTAAATGTCTAGAGTGTCCTGGATATTTAGTTACATGTCACTTGTGAGGTCTCTTCAGATTTCCAAAAGAAGATGCACACTTGAATTGCTTGCAACTCATGATTACTATCTTTGAGGACTGTGAAACAATTGAACCACCACATTGCTTCAATGCTGGACTGGAATGGTTAGCCCAAGTCATTAAGTGCATTCCCATATAACTTGGCGACTATGTTAAGTGTCTGTTTTGGAGAAGCTTTCAGGGTATTCCCCAAGACCTTGSGGCAAACTTAAAATATATAGTCAAAATTTAACTGCAACACATTATGCCAGCTGAAGAAGGGAGTGACTGAGGGCATTGTGAGTATTTCCAAGAGCAGGATGCATGTTAAGTAAAATTCTGGATTATTCTCTGAGGTCAGGCATCACTCTAAACATGTGGAACAAAACCCAAGGTTCCTCTTTAGCTGACCCAGGAAACTTGGACCAGAGCCAGACTGGACCATTAATTTGCCCTTCGAGAGCAAGAGATATGAGCCAGGCATTGGAAAGAAGCTAAATACCATCCATGGTTGCCATTCTTTAAAAGTGGTCAATCTCCACTGCCTCAAAAAGAAAAATTCTTTCTGGTTCCCCAGATAACTACTAAAATCTTAAAATATCTATATTCAATATAACTGCTGTAAGATAATAAGATAATTTCTGCAGATACAACACAAAATTATGTCATCACAAAAAATGTGCTCTTTGATTCTGTCCATTCCAGAAGCTTACTGCTGAAATTTTAAATCATTTAAGATTTCTTTTCCTGGCATCTTTTTTTTAAGACAATTTGTGTGTATCTTGTCAAGTGATCAAAAAACTTATAATACCCAGCCCGTAAATTCATCTTATGTCCAGTGTGTTCTCACTTCAACTTGGGTTAATAGTGTTAAATGGAAATTGGTACTGGAAATTAAATACAAAATAGACTGTATACTTTACAGAGCGATCAGATAAGCCTGGCTGTTTTACTTAGACTAAACAAAATTTGGAGAGGTATTTTTTGACTTAAATCTGTTCAGCTCTACATCTTCATACCAAGGTTCAGCAGAGAGGCATCCCCTTCTCATCAGTGCTGAAGAGGTTACCCTGTGGAGTGTGGCATGGGATGTTTTCTCTAGCACTATTCAAGCCTTTATGTTTCCATCTTGCTTGGTGGCTTCCTGAGCCAAATTGAGTTTCTCTCTTCATCTTGCACTAACACGTTCACCTTGGGGTCATTTAAACTGCTGTATCTTAGGAAGTTCATAGCTCTTATTTTCATTTTCCATACTGTGCTGCTTCCGACTGATGATTTCTCATGTTTATAGAAAAAAATATTGTTTCTTAAATGCTTTGTCACATGCTCTGCTATTAAATTACATCTTCTAGCACTCTAGTTGTGCAAAACCATGACCTCTTTGGTGTAATAGTCTTTGTACTGGAGATAATTTCCATTTTAGACACACACGTAGAAATTTCTTGAGCACATGCATAGTTCTTCCTTTTTAGCTACTAATGAATTTATGAAATTGCATCAGTGTACTGAGCACCAAGGATTGCTGCTAGTAACATCTTTCTCTCATGATAATTTACAATTTTAAAGTAACCTGTTCTAGTTCTTATTTCCTCAGTTCTTACCTCACGTGTACTTTGAGAAATTTCCTGTGGGATGTTGTATCAAACCTTTTTTTAATATATGTAGACTAACTCTACTTATAAATGATTTCTAGTACAGTAGTAATTAAAAGGTTAGACTATTTGGATATGAGCTTTGATAAAAACATACTGTTATTTATTCTATGTTCAGTTTATTTCTTTGTCTTTACTACTTTTCAGTACTCTGGGCTTCAAACACTGTAGTAAAAGATGGTGAAGCTTAATATTAAAAGTGGATAAGCTATTTCCCCTACCCCAGCAAAGGAGACAAGTTTCTTTGTCTGATCTKTATAAAATGTACTCTCCAGCTGTTTTATCATCATGTAGTCCTCCTTTGGAACTCTTAGTAATATGAGGCTAGGTTGGTTGCATGGAGATGGGCTTTTGTGAAACCTTTGAATTCTTCTGAATTTTAGTTTATTTGCATTTTTGGGAGGCTACCCACATGCAGTGCACACGAAAGCGCTGCCAATTGGCCAATGTATGAAGTTCTTTCTTTTCTTCTGTTGCTTTAGCTGATAAGACCCTAACTTAGATTAGAAAGTCATTTCTGAAGCTGCATTCTTGTTCTTCCTGTTTTGGCACATCCAGTTCTTCCTGAATAATCTTTGTTTTGGTGATTCTTCAGGATTTTCTGGTAGTAGCAAACTCTATTTTCTATTAGCTTAGCATGCCTACTTTTGATCCATTTCAAGAGGACTTTTGCTTTAGGAATGATCCTAGGGCTGGATGTTTCTTTGTCTTCTAGTATCACAGTTCTTGAGCTTCCGAAGTGCTGAAGACAACTTGAAGTACTCTTACCTAATGTTTCAGAACTATGTTCTGTAGGTTGGGCAACTGTTTATGTTGGGAGTCATCACAGAAAGAATGTTGTTGCTGAGCACACCTGTGGGGTTGAATGAAAACCTGTAAGTCTTATGCAGATTTATTTCAGGTAGTTGGCTTGTTGATGTGACCTGTTAAGTCTAGTTGGCAGACTTGTGTTAGGAGGGGAATGTGACACACAGGGAAAAGTAACTGATGATAAAGCCGTGCATATATGCATTAAAATTAAGGTTTTTATTTTAATTTGCTTGTCATCTTTCACTGATGATCTAAAGTTGGAAAGCACTGAGAAACTGATAATGTTTTTTGTTACTTTTTCATAGATTTGAAAAATTGAGGCATGTACTTCTGTATAAAAGGATCCATTCTTTTGGTTTTAGATATTTAGCTGTGACTCGAAGCATTACAAAAATTGTGCTGCAAGCTGCTGAGACTGTTTTAGAATGCTGTAGTAATATTGTACATTATAAAAGTAATATTGTATTGAAGCTGTAGCCTAAAATCAAGAACAAACAAGTGGGAATTGTCAGTTAAATAGCTGAAGCTGTCTCTGTGTTGATTTATTTCTGAAGTCAGAAATAAAGTGTTAAGAGTATGTCTGACTTGGTCTCTTGTTCCGGTAAACCGATGAGGAAGAAATGATTCATAGCCAAAATGTTTGCAACTACTACAATCTAATGTAACATTTAATCTTATTGTTGTATAGAAAATAGAATTTCAAATATACAAGTAATGACTATTTAATCATAAAACCTTGAAGGGGAAAAGACGATCTGGATTATTGAGTGCAGTCCTTTGGATTACCTGAGAGTATTGCTTTGTAATCTCATTAATAAATTTAATCAAAATGTTGCTTAAGTGCTACAGAACTTMCTATCTTCCCTGCTTCTTTTAGAATTTTGAAGGTTGCTTCTCTTCAGTGATGTTTTAGGTGAACTAAAGCACATAATTTAGTATGACTTGAAAAGCCTGATTTTACAGTTTTGTTTCTTTTTTTCTTGTGCTGTTTTCTATGATGATCTTTTCTGTAGGAATAAAATATCTGGAACTCTCAGCTGTGATGAGTAAAGAGTGGTTGTCTTTCTTATAGTGAGATATCCAAATAGGTGATAATCTTTGTCTTTTGGAGCCTGGGCTTGAGATAAAAGGTCTCAGTGTTAGTGTCTGTCTGTAAGTATACAAAATGATGTGAAATGTACCTGTAAATACCTGTGAAGAACAGACCTATGAAATACTTCACTCTGTCATTGCTGTGTATAACCAGTTTTGAGTTGCATGGTGTTCCTGAAGCAGAAAATAAAACGTGTAGCTGAGACCATAGAAACTGGCTAACAGAAACTGAAGTTTCATTGCCATAAGAGAATTTGAGGGTAATCAAGGTACTGTGTATGCTGTGAAAATTTGTGATGAATCTTAAGAGCGGAAACCTGGATTGATTCCACAGCAGAAATGTCAGGCTTGAGTTGTATGAATCTTGAGACAGACTTTGTGCAGCAGATACAGGCACAGGTTATGATTTGTTAGTAGATTTCAATCCAGAATTCTTATGAATAAAATAGATTTTATTGATGTAATTTGTACTGGTGGAAGCACAGGTACAAAATTAAAAAGTGGCAGAAAAACACTAGAGTTTAAATTTTTTTGTTGAAACATAAAGGGAAAAAGATGTTCCATCCTGCAGTTCTGCTGAGATGATAGATGGTCTTTAGCGGCCTCTGCTGGTTTATTAACAGGAAATTAGTCAGTGAGAGAAAAGATGGAGACGGGTTTTTTTAGTTGTT